AGATGTGATTTGAAATGGGGTAGAGTCCATGTTTCTGAGGTCCGGGGGGAGAGAGTTCCAGAATTTGGGAGCAGAGCGACTGAAAGCCCCCCCCCCCTTCAATTCAACGGAGTCATGTCATCCCAGACAGAGATAGCTGCTCTGATGACAGAGTTGTCGGAGCTCCTAGAAAACGGGGCTATTTCCCGAGTTGCCCCATGCGAGGAGAACGAGGGTTATTACTCCCGTTACTTCCTAATGCCGAAGAAAACAGGCGGAATGAGACCTTGGATGAGATGAGATTCTGGACCTATCTCTCTTCAACAAATCCACAATGGAGAGACCGTTTCACATGTTAACCTGGAGTGTGTGCGTCCCGGCGATTGGTTCACATCCATCGACCTAAAGATGCTTATTTTCATGTGCCCGTCATCCCCAGGCACAGGAAATTCCTGCGTTTCTCCTTCAGAGGAGTTCAGTATCAGTACAACCGGCTGCCTTTCGGTTATTCTCTGGCTCCCCGCACTTTCTCCAATTGCGTGGAAACAGCCCTGGAGCCATTACGCAGGAGAGGCATCAGGGTTTTATTTTACCTGGACGACCTGATGGTGATGACGTCATCCAGGGAGAGCGCAGCGCTCCACACAGTGGAGCTCGTCAAACATCTGTGTTTGCTGGGTTTTGCCATAAACTGGCAGAAGTGCTCTCCCCTCCCCTCCCAGTCGACAATTTACCTGGGAGTGCATCTGGATTCCTCCATCATGAGAGCGAAACTAGCCAGGTTAAAAACACTCAGCTTTCTCCTGTCACGCATCGCACCTCGCAAGGTGGTAACGGCTCTGTCTGTGATGCGCCTGCTGGGTATGATGTCAGCCAGTCATGTGGTGGTTCCTCTGGGTCTTCTTCACATGAGAAACTCCAGAGGTGGTACAGCTGTCTTCGCCTCGATCCGATACGTCACAAAAGACGCATGATAACTGTTCCTCCCTCCCTGCAGTCGGACCTGACACATTGGAAAACCCCTCGTGTTCTGTCAGCGGGGGTTCCCCTCGGGAGAGCTACGTCACACATCTCAGTGTTCACAGACGCATCTCTCTTCGGATGGGGAGGAATGTGTCTCGTGTCTCGTGTGGTAGGAGGGAAATGGCCAGAGCCACCATCCCTCCACATAAACTGCCTGGAGCTGTCCAGTGCTGAAACACTTTGCTCCACTGTTTAAAGACAAACATGTAGTGATGAGAACAGACAACATGACAACAGCGGCGTATAAATCGCCAGGGCGGCGTTCGCTCAGCTCAGCTGCTGGAAATAGCCAGAAGCCTCCTGCTGTGGTGTCACGCGAACCTGCGCTCCGTCAGAGCGGTTTACATTCCAGGCAAACCTAACCGAGTCGCGGACCTCGGGTCACGCAGGGGTCCCTCTCAAAACGAGTGGAAGTTGAATCCCACATTCACTCAGATGCTGTGGAACAGGTTCGGGAGAGCAGATGTGGATCTGTTCGCCTCATGAGAAGACGCACAGTGCGCGCTATGGTTCATGAGCGCACGAGACGACCCTCTGCCGGGAGTGGATGCCTTCTCTCACCAACCATGGCCCAAAGCTCTACTTTACGCTTTCCCCCGGTCTCCCTGATTCCTCGCCTTTTAGCGCGCATTCAGGAGGAGAGCTTAACAGCCATTCTGGTGGCCCCGGAACGCACGAGCGCATCATGGTTTCCGACCATGATACAGCTGCTATCAGGGACGCCATGGCGACTCCCGTGGCGCAGAGACTCGCTCTCGCAGCTGGACGGCGCAATCCTGCAGTTCCCGGTGATAGGTCAGCGGTTATGGGCCTGGCCCCTGAACGGGAGCGACTGGAGAGACTACCCCTACAGTGGTACGCACTATCCAGGGGGCAAGGGCTCCTTCTACTACGGCCTGTTATGCAGCGAAATGGTCCGCTTTTCAACGCTGGTGTGTGGAGAGGGGCTTTGACCCCACATCGTGCCCTCTGCCACAGATGTTAACTTTTCTCCAGTTGCTAGTAGATAGAAATTTGGCTCTATCTACAGTTAAAACATATGCTGCCGCCATTTCATCCTGTCATGAAGGCTATGGAGAGAGATCCGTTTTTGCGCACCCGCTGGTTAAGCGCTTTTTGAAAGGAGTCATATGACAGAGACCTGTCACGCGCCCTTTGGCACCACAGTGGGATTTACCCCTGGTGTTACGCGCTTTGGGAGAACCTCCCTTCGAGCCTCTGTCACAAATCTCTCTCAGACTACTGTCATTGAAGACAGCGCTTCTCTTAGCCCTGACTTCGGCTAAGAGAGTGAGTGATTTATGTGCACTCTCAGCCTCCCCGTCTTGTCTCGTTATCAGAGATGACGGGAGCGCAGCTACTCTGAGACCGAATCCCACATTCATGCCTAAAATCATAACCAGTTATTTTAGGTCGAGAGTTATTTCACTGGAAGGTTTCTTCCCTCCTCCCCACAGGAGTGAGAGAGAAGAAACATCACACCGACTCTGCCCAGTGCGCGCTCTGTCTCATTACGTGACGAGCACAGCGAGCCTCAGACAGACACAGCAGCTGTTTGTACATTACAGAGAGCATTCACAGGGAAAACCCCTCACGAAACAGCGCTTAGCCCACTGGCTGTGTGACGCTATCACACAGGCTTATGCTGCAGCGGGAGTGGATCCCCCGCCGGGTATTCGTGCGCACTCTACGAGGGCTTTGTCCTCCTCCTCAGCTCTCCTCAGAGGGATGGCAGTGGCAGACATTTGTGCAGCAGCATCATGGCCTTCACTGTGTCCTTTTATTCGGTTCTACTTACGTGCTCAACGATTAATGACACACTGTCAGCTCTGAGCGCGTTACGCACACACAGTCACCTGGTAGAGAGCCGTTATATGTGCTACAAGCTGGCAAATATGTTCAGTCTCTCTTTAAACTCATTTGTACGAGTCTCTGGGACTGCCACAATGCGTAACGGTCGTCCCTGCGTGCTCTCCCAACATAAGTTTACTGTGTTAAATGCGCACGTATGCGCTCTTCGTGCTCGCGTTTGAGACTTTTTACAGTGCGTTATTATCGTCCCCACTCTCCACAGCAGCAGTTGTGCCAGGTGAATGAGTGTGATGTTTTTCACTTTGACCATTCACTCAGGGCGAGAACAGAGGGGAAACACAGCATGGTTTTATGTCTTCATATTTTTATTGTGCTCTGCACTAATGAGTTGTGAACTGGTATGTGTTTAAATACTTGTGGACTGTGGTGGCACAGTGGGGCATTGACCACATCAGCTTCGCCCTTAACCCAATAGCGACAGCTTTTAGAGGGCGAAGCCTATACGAAATAGAACGTTGGTTACGTACTGTAACCCCAGATTCTATGAGTATAGGCTGCGCAGCCCTCTAAGACCCAGGCCCCACTGCCCCACCAACTTCAGCTTAAGAAAACCCAATAAACCCAATAGCGACAGCTCTTAAGCCTGATTTATGGTCCTGCGGCGTACCTACAACGTACCTACATCGTTGCCGTGACGCCGTCGTGAACCCTTCGAACTTCTCCATCACTCCATTTCGTCGCAGTGCAATTCACCGCCAGAGCGGTAGGAGGCTGCGTTCCTTTCCTGAATGGTTATCGTCGTCTCTAGTTGATTCTTTGTTTAGCTTCCGGCTTTTACGGTCACAGAGAAATGAACGCGGAGCACGGACAGACGGCTCCGTCCGTATCCGTATTGAACATTGAACATAAATGGGCCTTAATACTGCAACATATGTGCAACATCTACATCACAACAGAAGATGTTTCAAGATGGCGGGGATGGCACAATCTGGAAATACGGAACCGGAAATGCGTTGCTACCAAGCAAACCAATCACAGCCCTCTCGGTCTGCGCTGGGTCTGCGTTGCCTCGATGTGTAGTTACATTTTTGGGGAGGTGCACGTCAGGCTACGCCGGGGGCCACGGCGAGCCTTCTGCGTAGCCACGTACCCTACGATGTGGCAACGTTGTTGATTTAACGCAGGACCATAAATCAGGCTTTAGAGGACTGCGCCTATACTCACAGAATCTGGGGTTACAGTATGTAACCAACGATTTATGAGCTGTTTAGTAATTGCGACCAGAGATATTGGATGAAGCGAGATACCCAACTCAGCTCACTTCCTGATTCAGTGACGTCAGCGTCACGCTCCCGTAGGAGACTTGCGGCAGCTCTGAATGTATTGTCGTCAATGAGGAAAATGAACGTGATCACAATTTATGGTCAATTCTTTCGCACAGTAGTCACTAAAGTAAATATTGGGTTCATTTTCCACAAGCCACACATCTTCCCAATATTCTGACACTAAAGCTGCATTTTTCATCCGCACAGATCAAGAGAAAATTAACTTTGTTTGAGCCCTGTCCGTCTCAGAAAACAAGTTCTCGCGAGATCTCGTGATCTTGATAAACAGGCGGTAAAATCACAGTTAGCTTACAAACAGTTATTTACCGCTAGTAATAAATAAAAAATGCCCAAACTTTGTGCAACAATAGGCTGCAATAATAGGAAGAATTTATTTTCATTCCACCTGCTTCTCGACCCGCATACACAGACATCCACAGAGCCTCTGTTCAACACGGTGGTGGGGAGGAGGGGTGAGGGAGAACAGGCTCTGATTGGAGGGAGCGCTAATCACGCCCACTTAGGAGACAGGAAGAGTAACCGTTTTCTTAACATTGGATAAGCCTACAGCTGGGTATCTCCCTTCATCCAATATCTCTGTTGCGACCCGCTGCTCCTAAACTGTGGGACCGGCTGTGAGATGGTGACGCTGCTTCAGACCTCCGGCTCCTGATTGGTGAGGAGTTCGTCCGGAGCTCACCACCGCATGACCGAGACTCTGCTGCTCATTGGCGGACAATCCTTTGGAAATGTCCGCCAAAATTCTCTTTTCTGGTTGGTCTGGCAGGAACCGTCCCGCGCTCTGTGGGTATATAGAGGAGGGTTTCTGGTGTTGAGGGAACACTTCTTTTTGTCCCGATTTTAGAAAGTAATAAAGATGTCTGGGCGCGGAAAAACTGGTGGCAAAGCCAGAGCCAAGGCGAAGTCCCGTTCTTCTCGTGCTGGGCTCCAGTTCCCAGTCGGCCGTGTCCACAGGCTGCTGCGCAAAGGAAACTATGCTCAGCGTGTCGGTGCCGGCGCCCCCGTCTACCTGGCGGCTGTGCTGGAGTACCTGACCGCTGAGATCCTGGAGTTGGCTGGAAACGCTGCCCGAGACAACAAAAAAACCCGTATCATCCCACGTCAACTGCAGCTGGCTGTCCGCAACGACGAGGAGCTCAACAAGCTGCTGGGCGGAGTGACCATCGCTCAGGGCGGCGTGCTGCCCAACATCCAGGCTGTTCTGCTGCCCAAGAAGACCGAGAAGGCCGCCAAGTCCAAGTAAACCTGGACAATCTTTGACTGCTGGAAACCAGCCCCCCAAAACGGCTCTTTTAAGAGCCACGCACTCACCTCAAAGAGCTGTTTCTGTATGTATAACCATGTTAATGAAGATGCACTGGCGTAGCTTGTGTTTAAGGAGTTGTTGCAATTTATATTCCAGTTAACCTTTTAATACCCAAGATGGAGTAGAAAATAACTAAGGACTTCTGTGATGTTTGCGTTAAACTCATTAAAACGGAAATCATGGAGCCAATGTTAACAGAGTCTAAATTGTTAATTCTTAACGGTATGTGACCGAACATAAACGATCATTACACCAGTGGATATGTTGATATAACTATAAGCTAAAAACTACTGGTGAATGTCAAACGGCACCAATTAGCATAGAACCATTGTAGTAATGAAACGTCTGATAATAACAAATTAACACCATTGAGTAAAACCAGCACCTAACAAATAGTAATCCTCTCTCCCACTGAAGGGTTTGAACAAGTACATTTATTCACAGTGACTGTAAATACATGAGGCAAAAGACCAGAAACAGAGACCCAAATGCCAAACATTTAAAAACGTTCAATTGAGTACTTTGATTAAATGAAACTTTATGCAGGACATCTAAATTGGTATTTCAATATTTTGGTATTGCTACTTTATTTGAATTAAAAATCTGAGCACTTCTTCCTCAACTGGTCAATACCATCAGCTTTCATATTGCAGCATATATCTAACCTATCAGCTTGTTAAGTTTTGTTGTTTATCTTCACTTGTTGTCGTCAGTCAATACATCACCTCACACTTCTGTTCCTACAGTAAATACATCTGATGAGAGGGTCTCTTATTCGTTTGGCGCATGCTCAGTCTCACTCAGAAGAAAACCAATCCTGTGCGAGCAACAGCACAGTTATATTTGCATCAGGACAATACAAATAAACCGTTCTGTCATTAAGTGCGTTATCCACATTTTGAACCATCCCAGCTGAGCAGGATGCCTGAAACCACCGTGAAAGCGCCCAAGAAGGGCTCAAAGAAAGCCGTGTCAAAGAGTGTCAGCAAAAGCGGCAAGAAGAGGAGGAGGACCAGGAAGGAGAGCTACGCCATCTACGTGTACAAGGTGCTGAAGCAGGTCCACCCCGACACCGGCATCTCGTCCAAGGCTATGGGCATCATGAACTCGTTTGTGAGCGACATCTTTGAGCGCATCGCCGGTGAGGCCTCCCGTCTGGCTCACTACAACAAGCGCTCCACCATCACTTCCAGGGAGATCCAGACCGCCGTCCGCCTGCTGCTGCCCGGTGAGCTGGCCAAGCACGCCGTGTCTGAGGGCACCAAGGCCGTCACCAAGTACACCAGCTCCAAGTAAACAGCGTTTTTGCTTCTGAGACTAAACCAACGGCTCTTTTAAGAGCCACCCACTTTATCTGAAGATATTCCATAAATGAATACTATAAGCTATGTTATTGACTAGACGTTTGCGACCAAAACAATATTCAAAAACCACAGAAAAATGAGGTATAACATAAGCAGCAGGTTTTTTTTTCCATATTTATCAATTCTGTGTATTGTTATTGACCTCAATATGTACGATATTTAATTACTACTGATTTTATTTCATGTTCTATTCTGCACTTCTGTTAGAAGTCTTTTGTCTTTCTGCCTGTCATCTATGCAACATCAATAAAGTAAAGACAAAAAAAAAAAAAAAAAAAAATCTATAATGCTTCACCTTGTATCTTTCTTATGGAGAGAAATCTACAAACTTAAACACATCAACATTAAACACCCACACCATAGTTTCTCATCATGTGAACATAAGTTCAGCCCTCATTATCCACCTCTCCCAAATCACACACGACACAATCTGTTTTCCTCCTGATTACACTTTGATTAACCAACTTTTTGCCACAAAGACTCAGTTTTACAGTTGGTTCTTAACTCTGTAGTTTACATTTATACATCAGAAACTGTTGGTGGTTGTCAGGTATGAGAGATACAGACGACTTTGTTAAATTTAGCATCTCTTTAGTCTACTATAACTTAGTTGATAGAAGATTTAATAAGTGATGGAAACTGATACAGCAGCCAAAAAGATCATCTACAAAGTAATACAGTTGACTTAAAGAAAAGACTTGCATTAACTGTACAGTTGCATATTCTGATAAGTATTATATAGAAAGTATTTCTCTTGTTTGTTTTTTCTTAAATGTGAAATACCCAAAAGATTTCAGAGTGATCTGGAATCTCTGTTTTGCAAACTCTAATTCAGTTTACTCTGTTATTATGATGACCCAGATAAAAGTATTAATAAATATCTAATTGATGTTTTTATTCGAAATGCTAAACTTTTTATTCATAAGCAGAGGTGATCAAAGTCACCTCCTGATTTTTTACCTTTTCTCATAGAATTCAAGGCTCCTCTTACATCACCCAGTTTGTTAGGAAAGAAACAGAATACCAAGCTTTTGGAAAATTTTGCAATTTTTCCTCCAAATCGTCTGAGTGGATACATTCTTTTTCTGTGAGCTTGTATCTTCTTTTTGTCTCTTTTGTTGTTGTTTGTTTTATTTTATGCAATAGTCTTAAAATACTGTTATTCATACATTTTGAATATACTCACGTCATACGTTTTTGGTTTTATATGTGGGTCCTGACAATTCATTTTTGTCCTCTGTGGAGGACATTAGTCTAACTAGTGTAACTCAAGTGTTCTTTATGCTATCCATTTGGGTCAAATTGTGTTCTGAAGAGGACATTCAGGGCTTTCTAATGATGTAGACATTATGTGGGTGGGGTTAACAGGGAAAACACACACCCTTTTCAAAATGGCTGCCATTACGTTTTTCTCATTTTTTGCTGTCAGAGTGGTAACTGATGATTTTCTGGCAAAAGTTATGATTATTTTGTTAATATTTAATTTGTTTCCTTAATATAAGGGTCTTGACTTTAATTTAGAGAGATTTCAGAAATCCAGAGTAATTTCAACCTTTTCAAAATACACCTTTTTTTTAAAGATATTTTTTGGGGCTTTTTAGCCTTTAATGTATAGGACAGACAAGCGTGAAGGGGGGAGAGAGAAAGGGAGTGACATGCAGCAAAGGGCCACAGGCTGGAGTCGAGCCCCGGCCGCTGCAGCAACAGCCTTGTACATGGGACGCCTGCTCTACCACTAAGCCACCAGCGCCCCCAAAATACACCTTTTATTCAACGTCCTCTGTAGAGTACATCGGGACTTAGTACCCCCTGTTTTATAACCAGTTTCCACGATTCAGCAGGCCGAAGGCCATTAACGAGAATGACGTTTTTTTTCTCATAATTTCTAATACATTTTAAAGGTTAGTCAGTGTGAAAGCAGAAATTTGGCTTGGAGTGAGACTCTGAAGTAATGTGTATGCAAGAATTTGGAGGTTTATTGGAAAATAAGAACACCTTAGGTGAATGTACATTCCCATGCATCTATGGTAGGATACTACCTAAAAGGAGGATTTCGAGAAACGTCTCGTTTTATTTCCTTTAAACAATGACGATTCTTGCTGAGAGTGTATTCACACATACAGTAGTATCTATAAAGCTTCACTCCACTGATCTTTACCCTTCCTAGGCCACCACACACAATCAAGTTTACCTGGTCTTTGGGGTCCGTCACAGAGGGGTCATGGGTCAAACTATGGGGCTCCCCATCACTTCTTATTGCCTGGGCAAGTGTTAAAGACTACATAGCAAGCATTACACCTCATCACATCATAGATAGTGAGGGGTGAGTGCAGTTGGACCACTAGGCCCTTAAACCCAGTGGTACAGGGTACCAATCCTGCACCCTGACTCTAACGTCAGGTCCATTGGTATAGCTATTAAGAATACACTCTACCTTGCTACCGATATCCATCATAGTGTTAAGCACTGAAGACAGCCACATAATAATTCCAGGGGAGTAAAAGTCCTTTGCAGCTCATACATTTAGAGATAAAGCATAAAATACCCCATAGTCCCATTGTAACTCAGTTGAAACTCATTGACTAACTCTGGAAATTTATGATCTAAGTCCAGATGTCCTCTACAGAGGACATGTGATAAATAAATATATAAATAAATAAATAATATTTTTGATTTTTTTTTTATGCAAAATGTTTCTTTCAAGTCTTATACTTAAATTACAGAAAACAAATCTTGATATCAAAACCTTTTTTCTTCTGGGTCCCTTTTATATGTGCTGTTATTAACTACCTGATGTTTTGCACATGTTGTTTTTCTCATTTTTTTAAACATGACGTTTAGACATTTAAAAAAAGGCGGTTTATAGATGAGTGATTAACAGTAGAATTATAATTTCCCGCCTCTACTGTGAAGGTGAAGGGTTCATCAGTGTCCTAGTTTCTATTGTTAGAACAAATGTCTCCGCCCAGCAGAGCTCAACTACGTCCGCAGAGAGGATGTAAATATCCACGTTCACAGTCTCTAACCACCAGCTTTTCTTCAGAACAAACTAGACTCTAATATAATGAGTGGTCGCGGCAAGGGAGGAAAAGGACTCGGTAAAGGAGGCGCTAAGCGTCACCGCAAAGTTCTCCGTGATAACATCCAGGGAATCACCAAACCCGCCATCCGCCGTCTGGCTCGCCGTGGTGGAGTGAAGCGTATCTCCGGTCTGATCTACGAGGAGACCCGCGGTGTGTTGAAGGTGTTCCTGGAGAATGTCATCCGTGATGCTGTCACCTACACCGAGCACGCCAAGAGGAAGACTGTGACCGCCATGGATGTGGTGTATGCTCTGAAGAGGCAGGGCCGCACTCTGTACGGCTTCGGAGGATAAATCACCGTCTCATCTCACTGCAACACAACGGCTCTTTTAAGAGCCACCCACAACATCTCAAGAGCGCCTTTCTGTTGACTTAATATTGTTGTATGTTCCCAAATTTACGCGGTTTCCCCTGAGTCCATATTGATTAAGAGGAAAGTCTCCATAGTACCATCTTATGTAATCAGTGTGAAAATATTTTGTTGCAAGTTAAAGTCCGACATTCATATTTTTCCCTCACTTATTAGCATCACTACTTAGAATACAAAAAGTAAAAGTTAACCCTCTCATGATGCAGAATTACCAATTCAGGAAATTATTTATAAAATTATTAGTCTGCAATTACGGGTGCATTAATGTTAATCATTTTATCTGCTGTAGCGATAAGATAGACCTTTATTGATCCCACAATTCAGAAGTTACAGTGGCCAAGAAGAAAGAATCAGATAAAAAATATCAAAAACTAAAAACTTAAGAAGGCATGCAAAAAAAAGTACAAAAATATGAATACATAAGAAACTGCAATTAATAATAATAATGAGCAATGGATTAAAGAGAGCATATCTAGTGCAAAGTGATTGTATGTGCAAAAAACAACAAGGGGGACAGTAATGTTTATAATAGTGTTTGTAACGTGTCCATGGTGCAGCTGATTGTCAGCAGTGTTGGTTAGTAGTCTGACAGCAGCAGGCAGGAAGGACCTGCGATAACGTTCCTTCACACACTTTGAGTGAATCAGTCTATC